AGCCTTTCTGGACTAATAATCCTGTCTTAATGTAGCATACATTCGGAATTCTGTGATCTTTTAGAGTGTGTTCATCTCAACCTTAAAAGCCTACACATTTTAAATGATCTTTACATTATCAATTAAACAATCAAGTGCATTTTTGCTGCACACGCAAATATGTATGTACACACTAGCTAACCTGAACCACATTTTGGGCAGACGTAGCACTTATTGCTGCGGATATTTAATTATAATTCGTTTAGATTTTAAAAGATTGCTATCAGCCTATTTTGCAGTGAATTAACATACCTTTTTATCAGTCTGACACAATACTTATTCATTTTAAATTAATAATTTAGATTAATCCATTACTAATTACATAAAAAGTTTAAAAATATTCAATTCACTTTTAGGTACACTAATATTTAACTCATAATTTGTTAAATAAATTAGAATTTCCTTGGGGTAAAGCGTCACTACTTACCTTAGAAACAAGGTAATTTTTTCCGTAATACAAATAAAATCAATTACGAAAACACATAGCACTTAAAAAAAAAATGACAGCGCTCTTGACTTTAAGGATTATTCCCCTCTGCGAGAAAACACCCTAACTTCGCGATTGACACACCCAACGAGACGATTTTTTAGCTTCAAATGGCGAGCACATTTGCTCTGCATGGAGAAAACGGAACCATATCAAGGTCAGATATGGAACAACCGAAACTGTTGTTGACAGGACAACGTTGGGAGATATTGCAGCATGAGTCGTAAATCGTTATCGTTGAGTTTTTGTTGCTAAAGGTAAACGGGAGCATAATTTATGTTCGACTTTCGAATTTTAATCTGTTGTTTGACGGTTTCCGTTATTAGGTTCTCAACTTTTTGACTAAAGCATATCATCTGAACAAAAATTGAAAAATTTAACTACCACCACCACATTTTACAGTGATTATTTTTCAGTTTCTCAATGGAGATCTTAAAACAATATATATTTTGCCATTTGCACAACTTATCGACTATTTGTGTTAAATATGCACACATAAAAAATGTTAGATTAAAAATTGGTTACCATTTTAATTATCAAAAATTATTATTTTAATTTTTTACCATTATAATCAAGTTAAATTCTAAAATTTAGTGCGAAATTTGGGTCTGTTTAAGATAGATCGATTTTTTTATGTCTGGCCTTATTTCACTTAGCTTTACCCGTAAATTAGGATTCACTTTTAATTAGCACAAAGGAGCACTAGCTCAGAAGTTCGTTTTGGCATTTAATTTCATTCTGGCATTTTGCGTCGATTCACTTTTCAAACTGTTGCCACCAAGTTTTATTGTTTAAAGTAATAAAGAAATGAAGAATTTGCATAAATGTATGTATGTTTCTCGCATTGTGATAAAACAATGGTACTTAGAGCCATCCAATTTTGAATAACGTAATCTTCCACCGAATATGGGCATCTGGGAGCCCTAATTTGGAATTTGTTTTATTATCGTTTCATATTTTGTAAAACTTTAACGAATTTTTCATTAACAAACTCAACGATTTCAAAGCGAGCAATGGCAGCACTGTACGAAAAACAATTTTTTTTTTATTTCCAGCGTGTGCGACTGTGTATCGGAAATTCCAAAGATATGTTCATTTAAAAATTATTTTGCGATATTGCCTTTGAATTGAATTGTATGGTTTAAGTTCAAAAAACATAATATTTAATAAATAAAGGTTACACAGAAAACGGTATACAAACACCCCTATGGGCGTAATGTAAGATCTGAAAGCTTTCAGATTTTTGTTGTTGTCAGAGCCGCCGCGTGGGTATTAGGCGCCCTTGTTCAAATTGAAATTTGGCGCCCCTTTATGGGGTTCTGTTGCACTCATATAAAGTGCTGCAAATTATATGTGAAATACTCTTTTATAATATTCAAAATTTGACTTTCGAACTGGAAAGCTTTAAAATTATAATATTAAAACACGTGTTTGTCTTATTAATTTTTTTATTATTTCATAAATTTTAAAAACAAAACAATGATAAAACATTTTTCAAGTAAAATATAAAAATTAGAAAATATATTCAAATATTAATTCTCCTAGCATTAGCAGCTACAAACGCGTGTATCAATTCCTTTATATTTACTTTATCCAAAATTTCGCTCTCTGTGGATATAAATGACAAGTCCGATAATCTCTCCTGCGCCATGGTAGATCGCATGTAGTTTTCTATAATTTTAAGTTTTAAAAAACTTCGTTCTCCAGTAGCCACCGAAACTGGCAGGGTTAAAGAAATCCGTAAAGCTATTGCAATATTTGGAAATGTATCGGTAAGATTGTTTTCATAAATACAATTTAAAACATCAGTAGGTGATATATACTCTTTGGTAAAGCATCGCAAAGATTTTATTTCTTCGAACAAATGTAATCTATCAATACCCTTTCCATTAACATTTTTAGTATCCATTAATTTTTCTTCTAATCCTTTTACAATGTTTTAAAATTTCATTGTCACTCCAGTTTTTTAAATTAGGTATATAGTGTACTACCTTGAAGTAACTGTAATGTTTTTTTAATTGACTGAATATTTCAGTAATTGAAGAAATAGTAGTGTCCAATATTATTATTACGTGTGTGTGTGTGTGATTATGGCAAAGCCTCGAGGGCTATCTGGCTAAGATGAGGGATGCCTTCGTGAACTTTCTAAGGGAAACTGGCCCGTATACACGTTACACATGGGGAAAACCACGAAAACGCCCATGCAGCCAGCCCGTTCGCGGGATTCGAACCTCGGACCGAACTACCAGTGTTCAGCGACTTTACCGCTCGGCCGCTGGTGGGCCCTATTATTATTACGTAATTAATCAACTACTGTTTATCGAAGTTGTCAGAATCCACTGACGTATGCAGTTTCTATTTATATCACTGATTTGAAAACAAGAACAAAATTATTTACCTGTTCTGATGCATCGTTGAATCTCACGTGATGTTTCAGCTGGCAATCTTCTTTACAGGAAAACCACAATTGAATTTCTTGACATCGCATTTTATTTACATAAAACATTCAAAAGGAACAAAATTAATATTTAAATACATTTTCTTGTACAGCCTCTCTTTTTCTCTTATGGCTGTACGAAACAATTTATCTGTCCATCACACGGAATCGAAAGCAAACAATCTACTGTTTACAAAAAAAAAAAAAAAAAAAAAAAAAAAAAATTTAATTTCTTACTAATGGAACCTCTGGCGTCCTCTAGCGGGATAAAGACACTTTAGATGAACATTTAACATACTCCCACCTTTAATTTATGGTGAAAGCCAGAAATTAAACATTAAAATTAAATTTATATCGTTACTCAAAAATTAATAGAATGATATAAAACCAATATCTATGAAAATTTCAGGCAAAAAAAAAAAAAAAAAAGTTAAAGTTCAAAAATTGAGTTGTGAAAAGTGTTCGTACAGTTCATCAGTTGGATTCCTGGGTCATCGTTCTTAGATATCTCCAAATGGCAAAGTTTACGAATCGGTCGTACAAAAGTTCCTGAAGAGGTTTTTACCTCTGCCATACGTGTACAACCATCTCTACTTGGAAACAATTTTGTGACTTTGCCTATTGGCCAGTTAAGTCTCTTTTGGTTGTCTAGTTCAATTAGTATTACATCACCCGTCTGGATCACTTGAGCCTTTTCTCTTGATTTTTGAATGAGATTTGCCAAATATCCTTTTCGAAATCTATTTCTCAATTGATCTTTTATATTTTGGCCTTTCCCGTATCTTTTTCGAAGCTTCTGAAAATTAATTTTCTCTAGATCAGGTATCCCAATTTCTTGGATGTCTTGAATAAAAGATGAAAGGAGTCAAAGGAATAAATTTATCAGATTCTTCTGAAATATATGTAAGAGGTCGATTATTCATTACAGCTTCAACTTCACATAATATCGTTTAAAGGTCTTCAAAATTGAGTGATGATCTAGCAAGTGTGTTCTTAAGAACTAAATGTTCAAGAAGAAGATTTTTTACGCAGGGAATGAGCCTTTTAGCAGAAATAATCCAATAATTTTCTTGAAGGATGGAATCAACAGTCTGGATAACAGCATGGCAGTTCTTTAAATGGCAGTCTCGTATTAAACAATTTACTACGTGATGTTTTGATGGCAACAAAATTGGATATTTAAACGAAAATTCGTCATCACGTTCTAACAACTTGGTTTTCACTCGTATTATGTTATTTTGATCTTTCACAACAAGACCTTTGACAGAACTTGAGACATCACCAAAATTTTCTAACTGAATTCTTGACCAAAGGAACTCTGCCTCTTTCTTTTCTTCGATCGAGAGCTCAGATGGGAAAAAATAATTTCTATTTCTACATTTGGATATGAATCTTTTCATCCAACAAATAATATTTACAAATCTGCAAAATTTCGAAATTCCTCATAATTCATGAATTGACCTACTTTTGTACAGGTAAATAATGATACTGCAGTTTTCTTTCTTTCTGACATAACTAAATCTTCATTAGGAACCTGTTCCGATTTGAGCCAATTATTTTCTTCGTCTTTTAACCATTTTGGTCCATTTTTACAACCACGAGATGGCAAGTCCGCCGGATTTAGATTACCTGGGACAAGATACCATTGGTATGATTCTGTGAGTTTGCATATTTCTCTGATTCTGTTACCCACAAAAGTACCCCCTTTGGTCATTTCTTCGTATCCATGCTATAACCGCTGAAGAGTTCGTTCAGTAATAAACTGGTATTGTGGGGACATCCAGAGCCTCACGAATATAGTTTGCTAATCTGGCTCCCAAAACACAAGCAAGAAGTTCTAGACGCGGGATTGTCAAAGTCTTTTTTGGCGCAAGTAGAGATTTTCTCCTAGAAGCTGTACCGAAATCCTATTATTATCTTCACAGGGCAGGAAAATTACTGTTGCATATGAAAAACATGTATAGACCATTTATCTTTATTTCCGTAGCCTATACGTCTGTTTACTTTTAAGTTAGATAATTGTTTCAATTCACTATACTATTTCTGAAAGTCCTTTTGGATCTTCTCTGGTAGCGGGGAATCCCATTCTGACTTCGCTGACCAGGCCTCCTGAATCATTAGCTTGGCTGGCAACAATGCTGGGTTGAGAAAACCGATGAGATAGTAAATACCTTGTGTTATAGACAAGATCTTCCGTTTAGTAGGATTTTCTGTTTCAGCATCAAATTTATTGCAGATCATTACACAATCCTCCTTTCTATCCCATTTAATCCCCAAAACCGAAACTGGAGTTGTAAGATCTTCTTTCAAACTTCTATTCTCAGTTGACAACGTTTCTATTTCTTCTACCGGACCGAATTGCCATAATCTCAAATCCATCTTAGCTTCAGCCATAATTTCAGTTGACTTTGAGATAAATTCTTCTAATTCGGATGCACTGTCTACGGAGGTTACGCAGTTGTCAATATAGAAGGACTTCAAGAGTTTGTCAGTAACTGTTTTGAGTTGTTTTTTGTTCAAATGGTATCTTATAACCGAGCTGAGTAAAAAAGGGCTACAAGTAGCTCCAAATAATACTCTGTTATGTTGATAGACTTTAATTTTATTTGCTTTCTCCCACCATAAAAATCGCAAAAATCGGCGATCTTCTTCCTTAACTTCAATTTGGAGGAAGGCTCTTCTGATGTCGGATACAACAGCAATAGCCTTTTCTCGGAATCTCAATAATATAGCGGGAATTTCTTCTATCAAGTTTGGTCCTTTGAAGAGACAGTCATTTAGGGATGGTGCTCTTCCAACTTTGCACGAGGCGTCAAAAACTGGTCTGATAGACGTAGTAGCACTCTCTGGCTTAATAACTGGATGGTGACACAAGTAATGGCCTCCTACTTCTTCTAGTTCCTTTTTTGAGACTTCCTGTATGACATTCTCTTTTTGCCATTCTTTAAAGACTAGGTCATAATCTTCAAATTTACTTAACTTCTTCAGTCTTCTTGTAGTGCTAAACAACCTTCTTTCTGCTTCATTTCTATTTGAAGGAATGTTTGGGTTAATACAAGTCCATGGAAGACCAACACGGTAACGCCCGTCTTCACTTCTCGTAAGTTCTTTGAGGAACAAATCATGGGCTAGCTCTTCTTCTTCCTTCTTAGATAACGTTTCAGCGGGATCATTAATTCCTATTGTTTCTAGCCGCCATAAATCTGGAATGCTAAGTTCTCTCAGAGATAAATTAGTCATCAACGTTAGCTGTACCACTATTCACGTAACCTTGGGATGGATTCTCTAACTCACCGCAAATTGTCCATCCAAGTTTTGTCTGAATTGCCGTTAGACCGTTGTTCAGCTGCTTGATTCATCCTGTTAGGAGTTGGCCATAAACATCACTGCCAATTAAAATTTCTATTTCAGGACACCCAGTACCAATATCTGACATCCATAATCTATGTTTCTTAAGCTCTTCTAGAACAGACTCCTTTGGAATGCGTGGAATGTTCCCACATATCTTTTCTTGGTCAAGGAATTCGGTTGTGATAACTGATTTGTGACCATTACCCGGTGCACTTAATTAAATTTTTATATTTACTATATTTTCTATGAGGTTTAGCTTCTATTTCTGCACCTCCAAATACCGTGTGGGTAATAGTTGCTGTAGCGAGAGGCCTCTCGTTACAGCAACTATTAAGACCAAGTTCTTTCGCGGTGCTCTTTAAAATATAACTCCTTTGGGACCCACTGTCCAATAGTGCCCTAACCTTCTTAATTTTCTTATTACCCTTAATTAGTATTTCTAGTGTCATGAGAGCTACTTCTTTTGAACACTGCTGATTTGCAAGTGTGTTCTGGATATTCGCTAGGGGTTTACTTTTATCACTAATTTCTTTCTTTCGTTTTACCTATCTCAGGACAGAAAAGCTCTGTATGAGGTTTTGAGCAGACATGACAGCGTACAAAAACTTTACACATTTTGGCACGGTGGCCAAAGCGTAAACATTTCAGACAACAGTTCTTTTCCCTGACTTTCTTTATTTTTTCTTCCAGAGAGAACGATCTGGCGACTACGCAGTCCTTACTTTCATGCGACTTACCACAGAACAAACACGACATTTCTTTAGCAGCGAATAAACCAGCTGCAGTAGGGTACTTGTTATCCCTTTTCAGTATTTTCTCTTTTACTCTCTCTTTTGGGATAATACTTTCAAAGCCTGACCTGGCTAACTGTAATCTTTCTTCACCCGCTACCTCCCTCTTCAAAAAGTTCATTAACAATGTTAAACTCGACTTCGGAAAACTCACTTCACTATCAGAATCTTCCTTTCCCCTAATATTGCATCTCTGCCATGCTCTTAAAATATCATCAGGTAAGCAGGATTCTATCATGGGGTGAATTACTTTCTATATCAAGCCCCATGGATTCTAAAGACCATAAATGTGCTTCTACCTTTGTA